TTACGCAATCTCATTTTATTATTTATTTATTTATTATTTTTATTGACATGGTAGAGCCTGTAGACCTTACGTTTATTCATGCTAAAGTGAGATGATACTATATTCTACTAATGAATATTTTATGGAATAAAATAAAAGTGAATGCAGAGAAATTGTTAGGTTGAAACGTATTCTCCAACCAGTAATGAGATTGGGATACTATATTTACTTTATGCGACTACGTGCGCATCAGCCTCGCCTACTAGCCCATATGTTGCAAATCACAGGAGAACCCCCTTATGAATTCCCTCGCTTCTTTGCGCGTGTGCGGCTCTCGCTCGAGTCTCGTCTCTTTTTTTTTTTGGCGCTACACCATCGTGGTTGAGCTCACAGTATTGGGAGCTGGACAACAAAGTCACCGCCCGAGAGGTTATAAAGGATCTGGCCATAGGAACTAGCTGAAACCTTGGTATTGGTCGGTTAGAGCCGTTCGAGCACTGTTTGGGGCCTCTCCCCTGCTACTTGAGTTCCGATTAAGGCCAATGCTTGCTCGATCTGGTTGAAAACATCCAACTAAACTTGTTGTCAAAATCACTCGGACCATCCTGAGTTATCTGGCTAACCCAAAGTGAGGAACGTAGTCCAACTCCTTCCGAACTCGATCCTGGAGCCTCGACACTTCCCTCAAAGAAGCACCATCCTCTCACCTCTCCCTCGAGCAAGATTTATGTCAATGTATTGTTTCATAAACCATACTTGTAGGTGCTACTAGAACTCACGCTTTCACCTGTTAACCCCTCGAACCATCGATTTCTCAAGGATTCTGCAACCTCCTCGAGGTCACTTGTCTTTGCCTCTAATGCTCGAGCGGTGCTCCAGATCAGTGTGCCATCATAGCTCGAACACTGATGCGGGTTAGCTCCTCTTGTTGCTTGAGCGCCGCTTCGGGCTAGCACTTCGTTGGAAGTATACAGTAGTAATAATTACAAAATAATCTTACAAATGTTACCAATGATTGGAGGACTCCTTTTATTTTAACTTATATTTATTTATTTTTCTCTTCTTCTTTCTTTGTGACCCTGGATTTATAACTTCATTTTCTTTCCTCCTGGTTCCTTCTTGGGTCAAAGTTGATCAAGAGACCCATTTGAACCAACAAAGTAAACTTTTTTTTTTTAATTTCCTTGCTTGTGTATGCAAATAACAAGTAGCCTTGCCTCTCAGTAAGTTCGAGCCACCCTTTTGGAAGTGAGATCTCGCACCTCACATCCAACTAAAATTGTTGCACAATGCCAATATTAATAAACACGAGCTTGACTTTATCAACCTCTTTTCAAAACTGAATAGTCCAGTAGCGAAGTCTTTACTCCTTTGGATGATGGTCCACTCATCGTCATTAGACTTGTTAAAGTTTCTTTCGGTACGATCTCACCGTAGACCTATTTGTTCATGGGTCACTCTAAGATTTGGATCCTCTCTTGAAAATATACCCCATCCTTTGTTTTATGGTCCTCTACTTGCACTCGGTATCTCCCTCGACCTCCCTCATACTTGGGATTTTTCTTGTGCTTAGTTCATTTTTCCCGTGCTTAAATAATCCACGTACTAAGGGGCTCAGAGCCTTCTGTTTCGCCAGATGTTCTTGCGAGGCAGAGTCTTTTCCTCTTATTCAAATTCCCCCTCAAACATAGCCCTCATTATGCTAGCTTACAAAAAAAAGTTCCGTATAGTCTATCTTCTTCTACTTTAAGAGACAAATATTATCTTTTGTCTGCTAGAAGCCGTTGCATCAACTCTTTTACCAGCCAGGGGGGAAGAAGGCTAAGACTTATTGTCAATCATCCCAAGATTGTTTTCTTTTCTCTCAAGTATCTCTTCCATGGCCTTGTTTTTAAAAAAAATGAGAGAGAGAATATATTACTGCTCGTTTGATTACCCTTGTTTTCCGTTTTCGCGCTCTTCACCATTATGTTCAAAACTAGTATCCACCTTGTAAAAATAAATCTCTTCCTCGAGCACCCCTTGCAACTCGAGTACAACTTCAGATTGACACCTCCTCGCCTAGTGCCTTTGCGGCTCAGGACAACACCTCTCATTTCTTGAACTGCTCACCAGTGCTTCCTTGTGGCACATCTGATGCGCCCCAATATATCTATACTCCATGCTTAGTTCCCTTTATTTAATTTATTTTGACTCACCGTTAGTTCCTTTTATCAATAAATTTTGTTTTAAAAAAAAAAAAAAATTCATTCTAGCTACCAATACTGCTAAAAAAAAAAAAAACTGCATCTCGCACTATTTCATGACTTTACTAGGTGATGCAAATTACACCACAAAACCTGAATTCCAATCAAGATAGAATTATTATATTAATTATTACATTCCATTCCAATCTATTTTCTAACAATATGATTTTGTTGTGCGAGGAACATCTCAACTTGGATAAAATGTACTTAGTACATTGACTCGAGGTGCACCTATATATAATAAAGGCTCAAGCTCCATGGGATCCCTATGCCATCCAGAGGGAACTTTAAGCACACAGACACTTATGTATATATATAATAATAATAATTGACAGTTGAGCACTGATAAGTCTCGGTTCTGGCTAAAAGAAAAAAGAACGAGGAGTTCCTCTCTACAGATAAACCTCAATGAGTTGATTGAGATCCTCTATACAAATATTTTCTTTTTACATGTCTTTTGCTCGAGTTCCCTCCTCGCGACCTCGAGCAGGGGGGCAAAATGTTGATATTTGCCACAATGTCTGCTTGAGTGGCACCATCTCTGAAAATAAGCACACCTGGCCAGTACTTATCTGGCGTGCTCCTGAAAGGACCAAGTATCATCGAGCTACTCATCCTATAACTGAACTCACTGGCCAAGGAAGGGGTCGCTACCCTTCCTCTCCTGTGGACGCGCCCCGCTCCAGTTGAATGGGCCCCTCCTCCCTTCTTTTCCGAGGTTGCTTCCTGCAGGCGTAACCTCGAGCATCTTTCTCTTGAGCTCCCTTTAATTGTAAGGACCTCGAGACGCAGAGCTCGGCTAGCTCACATTTACGAAACTGACTTTTCTACTGAGCTTCCCTCGGTTAACTCACATTTACAAAACTAGCTCTCTGGGGAGCTCCCTTCGATTAACCAATTCTTCATAAAGCTGACCATTCTATCGAGTTCCATTCGTTTTACCTCATTTACAAAACTGACTTCTTTACGAACTCCTTTCAGTAAGTTCATTTCTTCACAAAGTTGAGTTCTCTAGCAAGCTCATCTTTATAAGGATAATTTATTGAAAGCATGCCTCTTAGTCATCTCGCCCTCTACAAGACTCCTTTCTCGAGAGAGCTTCCCTCTATGAGCTCATTTTCATAAAGTTAATTTAGAGCCTTTTTTTTTTCGATCAGCGCGCCCTTTGTGTAAATCTCCTCACTTTTATATGACTCGCTTTTGTAAAACGCCTATCTCTGATGAACTCTCCTCGAGAAAGCTTATCTCCACAAATTTAACTTCCTTGGCAAATTTATTTCTGTTGGACAAAACTTGTCCCTCTAATGAGCTTTCCTCGATGAGTTCATTTCCATACTTCTTTAAAGAGATCATTTAGCTTACCTTTGTGAACTCATCTATTTTATAAGCTTTCCTTGATGAGTTCATTCTCATACTCTCGTAGGGAACTTAGTTAGCTCACTTATATCTTTAAAGAATTCCCTTCTCTACCTCAGTCTTTTGCTCGAGCTCTCTCCTCGCAGCCTTAAATTCCCTCCTCGCGACCTCGAGTAGGGGGGCAAAATGTTGATATACGTGCCACGACGTCTGCTTGAGTGGCACCATTTATGAAAATAAGCACACCTAGCCAGTACTTATCTGGCGTGCTCCTGAAGGGACAGTATTCTCGAGCTACTCGTCCTATAACTGAACTCACTGGCCGAGGAAGGGGTCGCTACCCTTCCTCTTTTGTGGACGCGCCCCGCTCCAGTCGGATGGGCTCCTCCTCCCCTCTTTTCCGAGGTTGCTTCTTGCAGGCGTAACCTCGGGCATTTTTCTCTCGAGCTCCCTTTAACTGTAAGGACCTCGAGTCACAGAGCTAGGATAGAGTCTGCGGGGCTGAGAAGGCAGAACCCCGAGGAAGGCTCTTTCCCTATCTTCAGTTGCGGGAATCTGAGTATCAGTGGTTAGGTGGTTGAGTTCCAAGGAATCGCCTCACTTCGAGGTCTACACAAGGGGGAGAAAATGTTTAACACCCAATAGCTGAGCTTGAGTAATAGACAATGTATATCTCACAGAATTACTATTGGATAAAGAAAGAGCTACCATCATAGCTAAGGGTCCTTACTTAGGTAAAGCGACCATTGGATAAAGAGGAAGTTAGCTCTCATAACCAAGGGTCCTTACTTAGGCAAAGCGACCATTGGATAAAGAGGAAGTTAGCTCTCATGAGCAACGGTCCTTACCCAAATGAAGTAGTATAAATAGGGCTTAACTCTCACCATTTAAGGGGGCTGAAAATACATATACACCACTCTAACTATAACCATAAGTAATGGTCTCCTAGGACTCGCGCCACCATGGGTGTTAAGCAAATCTGCCTTCTCTCTCTTAATCTCCTTTATGGAGAATCCCTTATGCTAGCTTGGAGCTCCACTCAGCCTCTGATCTCAGCATCTCTGACAGACGTGGAATGATCTCCTCATCCTACTCACGAACTACCATCAACTGTAGTCATATCAGAGTCTTGGGCATTGAATCTGTCTTCATTCGGAGTTGGAGTGTTCAGACTAGCGGAAGGTAGCTACAATGAATTCGATTGTCATAATAGAAAATTGGAATTCTTGATTTTACTATATTTGCTATATCTCTTAAATCTTCATTTTTAACATTTTTTTTAGCAAAAAAAGTCAAAAAATTTTATTAACAGAATCAAAGTAACAGCCGTAGTAGATTCCTACTTTCCTTTTAGTAATAGTTTTTATTTCATATGATAAAATTCATGAACTCAAAAATAGTCTGTTTTTCTATTTTCAGGTTATGCACTTGCACTTGATATGACTGCTAGAGAAATTCAAGCTTCTGCAAAGGTGTGAATTTCGTTTTAGCTTTCATATAAGTTATTTGGGTAGGAATCTTTTGTCTAGGATATTGCTTTTAATTTATGACATACTTGAAAAAAGAAAAAAAAAAAAAAAAACTTCTACTCTTTGTTTGTAATTGAATTTCGCTTTTGTAGATTTTGTTTTTCCTTGTAAATCATTCTGTTGGATTATAAGGATTTAATATATTTGCTTCCCCTTCTTAATTGGATTGCTGAACTTTTCTAAACTAACTCTGTTGGTACATCCATAATCTTGAGAAAGGCTTCATTGTGGAGTGAAGCATAAAATTAAATGTCGAAGGAAAGTGTTGATGAACAGTGTGAACAACTTTTGGGAAGTTACTAATAATCCATTTACATGCAAAATGTGAAAGGCATTTTCTTGGAATCACATGCTTATTTTTATTAATCAGGTTTTAGAAGAATTTTTTTTTATAGAGATGGGTTTCTTTTGAACTTTGAAACCTTGTTTTTTGCATATGTTTAATTTTCCTTTTCAATTAAAACAATATATTGCATGATTCTTCCAGAAGTTTCTCTGAACTTGGTAGTAATGGCTGTCATATTTTTTCTTTTTAGTAATGCTGTCTCTTTGTTCACTCTATTTGCCAGTCTGCAGGTCTCCCATGGACTGTGGCTAAAGGGCAGGACACCTTCACACCAATCAGCTCTGTTGTAAGAAATAAGCAAATTCATTTTGTCTTCTATTATTTGATATCACTTCGCGTTCAAAATGAATCAAATTCAGACTAGAAAGGTTTATTACATAAATACATGTGTGCATTTATTTGCCTAAAAAGATATGGCGTCGGAGATGGTAGGTGCTAAAATGACTCTTCTTGTGCTAAACTTATAGTTATGCCTTCATTTTTTTGGTTTTTAAAGAATTTTACTACAATTTTACTATTTAGTAGGAAAAGGAGGCATTTGTCATCCTTGCTTCCTTCTACTTGGTATTATAAATATGAGATAGTTGTGAACCTTTTCCTTGGTCATATTTGTGTGGAAAACAGACAGGAACTTCAAATATTTTGTTACACTTGAGGTATAAAATATTAGTAAAATGGATAGCTCAAGATAATAAAATAGAGATATAAGCAGATATAATACAGTATTATGAATATTTTACTCCATGGTTACAACCTCATTTTAATACGTGATCATGCTGTCTTTCAATTAGTGTCCTAACATATTCTGCCAGTTGACTGTCAAATTTTTCTCTGCAGCTGCCTACATCAATGGTGCCAGATCCTCATGACTTGGAGTTGTGGTTAAAGGTACCAGATTTTAGTTATTTATTTCTTGTGCCTTGTAAATGTTTGTATTTTGCAGTACTGAGCCGTTTCTTGTTACCCTGCAGGTAGATGGAGAAACTCGTCAGAAAGGCTCAACTAGGGATATGATATTTACGATCCCATTTCTGATTAGCCACATAAGTTCTATCATGACGCTTCTTGAAGGAGATGTTATACTAACAGGTATTACAGATTTTTGTATCTTGCTCTATGTTGAAATTTTGATTAAAAAAAAAAAGAGTAAATTACACTCAGACCCCCTATGGTTAGGTCATATTTCACCTAGATTAACATTTTGGTTTTAGATTTCACTTATATTTGAATTAGTGGTTTAACATTTCACTTACACTCCAAAGGTCAATTTTTGATGGAGTCAGAGTACTTTTGAGGTGTTAAATGACTATACTACCCTTTGACCTCGTATTGACTTTTTTTTTTATGACCAAACTACCCATCACAATCACCACCCACCACCGCTCTCATGAACCTTCCTCTTTCTCTCTCTACCTCTCTGTCATGATTGTTGAATTTTTCCCATACAAGAAGAGAGTTTGAGAGAGAGAGAGAGAGGGGCAATTGCAGAGAAGGGCAACAAAGATCTTTGGTGTCTAAAATTGCCAAATTTGTTTTATTTTTCTCTCTCCTCAATCCTTCTCTTCCTTCTTCGATTTAGGTTTTTTTTTTCCCTCCACCACGACACTCTATTTTTTCCACCAAATCACACACACACACACACATATAGCACCACCACCAATCACCCCCACCATATACCACTGCCGCCGGCCCGCCGCATCACAGCTCCACCACCCACAGCCACATCCATCATCACCCCCCACAACCACCACCAAATTGACACCAAATCAAGTGAACTGGGTTTTGCCCTTGTAAGCTCTCCAACAGATCCACTTTACCTTCACCCTCCCATCGAGAAATTTCCAGTCTCTTACTTTTTGGTGGATATGGATTCTTTTCCACAGATTGAGTCAAATCTATTGGTGAATGCAATAAAACAAAATAAGAACATGTTGCTTGCTCGCCCAATAGAGTGAGAATTTCAAGTCTCAGTAGCGGGATACCTTTTGTCAAGTTTAAAGACATTCAAAAGTGAAACCTTATATTCTCATAGAATAATGACTTTTCAGTTGAATGTTCTACTAGTCAGCCTTGCTTCTTTCTTTTTTTGTAAGGATATAGAACCTCTTCTCAAAGAAAAAAACCACTTTGTTGAGATAAGAGAAATAGAATTATCAGAGAAATGCATATTATGGTCTGGGAGCCAGAGATGGTGGCGGTGGTTTGGGGGTAGGGATAGGGAGTCTTTTGTCATTTAAGATTACATATATTTTGTATTAAAAAATTGAGGATAAAAGAGTCAATTGGCATGATTGGGGTGTAAGTGAAAGTTAAAACCAAAATCTTCATCTAGCTGAAATATGACCTAACCTCAGGAGGTGTCGGTGTAATTTACCCAAAAAAAAAAAAAGAAGAAGTGCAAGCTCAATACACAAGGCTCCCGCAATTGTGGGGTCTGGAAGGGTAAAATGTATGCAGCCTTACCACCACGTGCAAAGAGGTTTCCTGTTTTGAATCTGCAACCTATAGTTCATAATAGGGTTGCAACTTGGACGGGCTAACCAAAGCCCAACCCGAAATTTTGAAATTTGGGCTTTAAGCTCACAAATCGGGCTCATGTTCGGGTTGGGTTTTGTCAAAACCCAGACATATTCGAGTTGGGCTCGGGCTCAACCCGAACCCAACCCAAAACCCCAAAAAAAAAAAAAAATCTCCTCTCTCTCCCCCTTCTCTCTCTCTCCTTTCTCTTTCTCTCTCTCTCTGGACGGCCGTCCCCATACATACAACTTAGCAGTTGCTGAGAGGGGGGCAAGCTTGAGAGTTAAGAGACAGCGGCTGAAGCTTGCGAACGGCGAACCCGAACTGGAATAGCAGGGGATGGAAACTGAAAGATCTGGGTTTTGATTTTTTGAACAGTCTGAAATGATATACCGATATGGGTTTTGAACTTTTGATTCTTGCAGACAGATAGATAAAACTAAAATATATGGGTTTTGAACTTCTGATTCTTGTAGATTTTTAAGTTTGCAGTTGCACAAAGAGAGACAGAGAGAGAGAAGGGGGGGGCGAGAGAGAATAGAGATGGAGGCGATTGGGGAGGGTAAAATGATTTGCCCTAAAAATAATCAAACATATAATATATATATATATATATATATATATAATTTGTATATATATATATATATATATATATAATTTGTTTTTTAATAATAATATAATCAAATATGTATAATATATATATATATAAATTTTTTTTAAAAAAAAACCCCTCAACTCGGCCCAACCCGCCCGAAAATATTCGGGCTGGGTTATGACCATAACCCATGTTGGGTACAATTTGGGCCTGCCCAACCTAACCCGATTCGGATTGAGGTTGGGTTAGGACTGGGCTGGGTTGGGCCAACCCTAGTTGATAAGGGAGCAACCTTAACCTTGCGCTAAGGCCCACTCCCTTTGTTGAAGTTTTGATGCTTCATATTATTTACAAAGAATAATTTCCCTAAACATGGCACATTGATACACGAAGATATATAAGTGATTCCCTTGATCCTAGTAATTCCTAAAATGTTAGCAAAAATAATGCCTATTGCCAAGCATTTAAATGTGTTTGAGGGGAGGGTGAGGGGGGCAGTTATTTATGCTTCTGCAACCTGGATTACGTCTTTTTTTTTTTAATTTTTAATTTTTAATTTTTTTGCTTTTTTTAACGGAATTCTCAATTTACCTATCTAGTAACTAACTGATTTTCCAATGCGAACTAGGACGAACATCTTTAGATTTTACTAGTAATTGCAGCATATTAAATCTCAGTTTCTTGATTTAATTTTCAAGTGTAGAAAGAATGAAAATATTGAAGTACTTTATTTATTTTCAGGAAAGGGAAAAGTACTCTATTTATTTATTATTACTATTGTTATTTTCTATAGATTTGTGTTGACGTTACTATGTTCCTTTGATATTTCAAGATTTGATTTTTGTTTGTTTCTCCTAGTAACTTAATAATCTGATCTTTGAACTGGAAATGGATTTATTCCTGAATCCCCCCATCATTTTGTTGGTGGCAAACCTGAACAACCAAATAGAATATTCCTTTTGGTAGCGAAGTGCTTCAAATTATTCCACAATTCAATGTTTCGTATTTACCCAATAATTCTCTTTCAGAGTGCTGATAGATTTGCTGCAACAATCCTGTGATCCCTTTATATGTATAACATAATGCATTTAATAGAATTCCTTTCCTTTTCTCTTTTGTTTTGTTTATAACACATGAATATATGGATAGTGCTAATAGAATCGATGATGATTTCGTTATTTGCTCTAGATTAAAATCTGACAATGATGCCAGTGCTATAACCTTCCTAGGTAAAATAAATAGGACTAAACTCCTTGCTCACTCACTGATTCTTCTTGTGCAGGCACCCCTCAAGGCGTTGGCCCTGTTAAAGCAGGCCAAAAGATAACGGCTGGCATAACAGGCCTCATTGATGTGCAATTCGATGTTGGGAAACGCCAAAAGACCCAAAAATAGTTGAGCTAATCAAATCCAAAATCTGCTCAGGTTTGCACAAGTGATTTTATCTTACACCTTTCGAGGGTTGCAGGTTTTCCATACTTTGTTCAAATGAAGCATCGTCTTATCTAGTTTCTGTCATGAAGAAAGCGGCTCAAAGGATGCGTATATCCTTGCTATCCATGGCAAAAAAAAAATCACAAATAGCTTTGTATTAGACATTTTTGGATGGCATAATAAAAATTCACGATGCACTTTTTGTGATTGAAATACGAGTTTATCTAATAAGTTCTCATGGCATATAAAATTTAAATGAACTGTTATGAAGAGATAAATCACCAGTATTGCTTCGAAGGATTCCATTTGATTGGAGCTTTGAAACGTCTGTTGAAACTTCCCAATAAAAAAATTGATCATTAATTTCAGAATAATTTTAACTCTAAATTTTGATTTGCTACTAAATTACTTTGTTTTTAGGGTAGTTATAGCATCTACTTGCCACCCGTCAAAGAAATTTGGAAGAGATTTTAATGGCAAGAGCGTTCAAGCTCGAAACATGGCCATGATGAAACATTTTACTGACTTGTACGCAGCGAATAGAGAATTACAGGAACCAGTAGAAGAATGGCGCGCACACACTAATTTAAAATAGTAACTGACAGGATTAACAGAGGAACACAGTTTGAGCCACACAAATGCATCACAACAATATCCAAAGGAACGGACCCACATGACAGAGAAGAGAATTAGAAGTTCTTGATGAAGTCCAAAATATGTTTGTTGATCTCATCAGGTTTCTCTTGGTTGATAAAGTGGGCAGCACCTTGTATTACGACTGCTTCCTGCAACAATGGCACATCTTTCTTGAACCCGCCATCTCGTATGTATTCCTTAACGCCTGGCATGTGATAGGCCAAGTCTAAGTACCCCGCAATAAACTTTGCAGGTACTTTTACTTGAGCTCCAGTCCAGGGTGCACTAAGTTCCCAGTTTCTGCAATTTAGAGGAAATGTTTATACATATGCGTATCGCACGCGAACATAAAATTCTATGCTTAAACCACAGAGATTATAGGAAAAGGAGAGGCCCGAGGGGGAGTCTTGATTCGTTAGAGGTGTGATGTCAAAAAAGGTCTGTCTTGAGTTTTTTTTTTTTTGTTTTTCTCCGGGATTGAAATAACATATGGTAAAATCTCCATCTTCTATCATTATATGTCTCTAGATACAGAAATTTTTTACCTTGATGCTTGAAATTTATTGCCTCACTATTTAACTTTATCAATATGGTAACTTACAGGGGGAGAGCTCGGTAATAGTTGAGTCCTCCAGTGAAACCCGTGTGCTCAAACTTGGTAGCATAATAATCAATATCTTCTTCTGACAACCAAGATGGCAAGATAACTGGAGTATCAGGTGAATCTCCAAACCCTTTACCTTTAGGGAAATAAAATGGCTCGGGATTCCGAAATGTTAGGAATTTCTTTAGAACTCTTTTCGTACCAATTTCAGCAAATTCAGCTTCTATTTCTCCCGGTTCCTACAACATTATCAAGCAATTTTTCTGTTAGTGTGCTATCAAATGTTGTGTTTCACCAATTACGTTAATGTTGCAGTTGGGAGCATCAAATCGGCTCTGGTACGAATAAATAAGCATACAGAATTCACAAATATCCATAGAGAATTCACAAATATCCATAGAGAATTCACACAGCGACTAGTACTGGACGTATATAATTTTGTATATAAAACAGGGGGAGGACCAGAAATCTGTAAATGTAGTGGTCATCGCCATAGGCAGCATGAAGGATCTCAACGAGCGTTCCCTGAGGATTATTCCGCAAAAACACAACACTGAGGTTAACCAAAAGCCTCGACTCTGTCAGGTCTAAACAAACACAAGTGCCACGCAATGTATGCACCCCAGTCATGTCCTACCACAAACACCTTGTCCTGCTCTGGCGCTATGGCGTCGAGGAGGGCCACCAAGTCGCCCACCAGGTGGAGGACGGTGTATTGGGTGGCGGAGGTGGGTGCTCCGGTGGTGTCACCGTAGCCGCGGAGGTCCAGAGCCACCACTCGGTAGCCATGGGCCGCCATGTAGACGATTTGGTGTCGCCACGAGTACCATAGCTCAGGGAAGCCGAGGAGGAATAGGACCAATGGACCCTGACCCTTCTCTGCTATGTGCATGTTTATGCCGTTGACACTAACCGTTTTGTGCTCAATCCCCTCCATCTTTCTCTCTTCAATTTCTTTCACTAACAAATTACTTTAGGTCTATGTCAGAGTGGAGGCTTGGTTGTGCTGTTTGTTTATTAGGAAATAACGTGTATCACACAAAAATAACTTAAAAAGATAAAGAAAATATATCATTATCACTTATTAGATTATAACTCATTAGATAAAGATAAGAACAAAGAAAATTTAAAAAGATAAAGAAAATATGAGCTTCTAGAATGGGGGTATAAGAAAATAGTCATACGTCATTTACAAAGAACATCATAAATGGCCATACAAAGACAAACAACGACATCATAAAGAACCACCAAGGAAGGAAAGCAGCAACGGGTTCATCGTCAAGGCAAATGCACTACTTTTGCATCGGGCGCCGCCGACGAAAAAAACACCCCCAAACCCCGCACAAGAGGCGGAGACAACAAAACCCGACATAAATTGGAGATTTAATTGGATTATTACCACTTTCTTCATCTATCCTAAAAAGTAAAAAACACACAACTCGTCAAACATAAAAAAATAATAATAATAATAATAATAAAATATTTTTTTACACCGACAAACGAGCCACATAGCATAGTATCAATATACCACGGATTGCACTGATGGTTTCTCAATAGTATTAATGACAGATTGGTAGGCGGTAGGTGTGTAAAAACAATAGCAAAATGAAACCGGATCGATTTGATTTTGTTGTCAAGTGAATAATATATATATAAGAAAATGATTTTAATATTGCTAAGACTATAGCAACAGAGAGAGGTCAGAATTACTAGCTTTGATGAAGGCTAGAAATATATCATCGGTGTTGATACTTATAAGGTTATGTGTGTTTATTATCCTCTAAGTCAACTGCTCCATACATCATCAGATCATATATTTTCTCACCGGATGTTTGATATGGCTGATACATGTATAGTCTAGGGTTCTCCTAGACCAAGAATGTCTTGTGCTATATTGTTGGGCCTGGGCCTGTTGTTTTCTACATTTTGTTCACTCTTGGGTTGTAACTCCTTACTGCTTTTGCTGGCTAGTACGCAATCGTGGGCGTCCTTGGCAAATGGTTTGTAATATTTATTTAATATATACTACTAACTTACCTTCCAAAAAAAAAAAAAAAAATCAGCTAGCAAAAGGGTTTGTTAAATTGCCTTTGAAACTTAACATCATTTTTGGAGTTTGAATCAATTAACATGTCATTTTCTATATGTTTCTTAGAAAAGAGTACAAAGAAAACTAGAAAATATAAAATGAAATTTTCATCTAATACTACTTAACTGTGAAGATCATGAATCCGGGTTATCTTTCGTGTGTCATCTTATCATGCGTCGCATTCTATGCTTAGCTACGCAACAAAGAAATTTCATATCATTTATACAATAATTTTATATTACTTAAGCAACTAAATTATATCTTGCAGTGTGGACCAGTAGAAAACGAAGGATCAACATGCATACTCTTGGTACAATAAAATAATAGGCCACGCCAGCTCAATTTCTTGAAACTACCCTTGTATTAAACATCTTGTGTAACCTAATTTAATCCTTGATTATTCTAATTAAACAAAAATATTATTAATTGAAAAATAATGACTGTAACTGTCCTTTGGACTGGCGCCGCATGGCATTGAAATCGGTGAAGTTTGAAATATCCGTATTCTCCGCCCTCGTGCACAGGATACAATTTAATGGAATATTTTAATGAAACAATTTAATCCCTTAATCACAAAATCCAAAGAAATTCAAAAGAGATGCCAATGGCAAGAGGGGGTTCAGCTACATTACATGATAAGTTGTTCTTCTTAGTTCCAAGTTGAAGTATTTAGGAGGGCCCACTCACTTTATCTACACTCAAAGCAACTGAATGCAACCTCCATGGATCCGAATGGAGAAGTGAATTGAGTACGTATGAATTGAGAGTTAATTTCATCTAATAGCTTTTAATTTTTTTGGTCCGATTGCGAAACTATAACTATTACAGTTGCAATCAAAGCATACAGATTGCTTGAACTTCCCAAAAAACGAAAAGAAAAGAAATTACAGGATTCATTGAGGAATACAGTTTGAGCCACACAAATGCATCACAAGTACACAACAATCTCCAAGCTAGGAAACACACATGAAAGAGAGAAGAAAATCAAAAGTTGTTGATGAAGTCAAGAATGTGTTTGTTGATCTCATCTGGCTTCTCTTGGTTGATAAAATGGGCTGCACCTTCTATTACAACCGCTTCCTGCAACAATGGCACATCTTTCTTGAACCCACCACCATGTATGTATTCCTTCATGCCTGGCATGTGATAGGTCAAGTCCAAGTCCCCCACAACAAACTTTGTAGGTACTTTTACTTGAGCTCCAGTCCAGGGTGCAGTCAGTTCCCAGTCTCTGCAATTTAGAGGCAAATATATATATGCGTAACGCGCACACACATAAAAGTCTATGCTTAATTAAACCATCAAATATGAAGAAATTACAGTAAAAATCTTCAAATAACAGATGCAGATGATATCAAGGAAGTAAGATATGTGATATAAAAAATGGTCTGCCTCGAGTTTTCTTCCAATATGAAATAAAGAAGGCAAAGAATCCAATATGAATTTGTTGTGCAAGGTCTAGTTCAAAACCTAGGCAAATTCACAAATGTAAACTCTCCATAATACAGAAAATTTTGACTATGATGGATTGAAATTTTTTGCCTCACTAATAAACCATCAATATGCAGCCATCATCAGTAGATTTAGATTTGGTAAATTTGAGCTGAAAGGTGTTGACTTACAGGTCGAAAGCTCGGTAATAATTGACTCCTCCAGTGAAACCAGTCTTCTCAAATTTGGTAGTATAATAATCGACATCTTCTTCAGACAACCAAGATGGCAAGATAATTGGAGTATCAGGTAAATCTCCGAACCCTTTACCTTTGGGGAAGTAAGCTGGCCCTGGAGTGCGATATGTTAGGAATCGCTTTAGTACTCTTTTAGTACCAATGGCAGCAAATTCAGCTTCTATGTCTCCCGGTTCCTACAACATAATCAACCAATGCCAAGTTTTAATGGCTTCTCGGTTTCAATGGCTTTTGCAAACAATCAAAATGGATTCAAGTAGACATGGAAATCAACCAAAGAAAACTAGTACTGTGTGTGTGTGTGTAACTTTGTATATAAAACAGAGCACCTGAAATCTGCAAACGTAATGGTCATCGCCATAGGCAGCACGGAGGCTCTCAACGATACTTCTCTCTGGATTCCTAGGCATAAACGCAACACTGAGGTTAACCAAGGCCTTGACTCTGTCAGGTCTAAACAAACACAAGTACCACGCAATGTATGCACCCCAGTCATGTCCTACCACAAACACCTTGACCTCCTCTGGCGTTATGGCGTCCAGGAGGCTCACCAAGTCGCCCACCAGGTGGAAGATGGTGTATTGGGTGGCGGAGGTGGGCGCTCCGGTGGTGTCGCCGTAGCCGCGGAGGTCCGGAGCCACCGCTCGGTACCCGTGGGCCGCCATGTAGACGATTTGGTGGCGCCACGAGTACCAAAGCTCGGGGAAGCCGTGGAGGAATAGGACCAATGGACCCTGACCCTTCTCTGCTATGTGCATGTTTAGGCCGTTCACCTTCACCGTTCTGTGCTCTATCCCCTCCATCTTTCTCTCTCTCAAATTTCTCTCACTAGCAAATTACTACTATATCATTTGCTTCAGTTTATGTAGAGTTGAAACAAGTATCTGTTTCTTTATTAAGGAATAACATGTCATTTTCAAGTCATAACTACAAAATAACATAGTTATTTTCTGTTTGTTTCTTAGGAAATTAAGAGGACAAAGAAAACCAGGAAATATAAAATTAAATTTGTCAGCCGGCACTAGGTAATGGTGAAGATCATAAGAGTTGAAAGTAAGTCAAGAATGGCGGTGCAATTCAAGGATCTAGACATCGATATGTACTTACTTACAATGATCAACATGCATGAGTCCATGACCTTGATACAATAGAATATTGGCCACGCCTGCACAATTTCTTGAACCTTCTCATCCATAAAAACAATTTTTTTTTTTTTTTTTTTTTGGCCGGGTGTTCTTTTTATATGTGATTATGTGTAACCTAATCTAATTGTTTTCTATTTAAATAATTTGTTCATAAATGTCATCCTTGACTAAAAAGACCATGTCAGAATAAATTGTAATTAAACAAAAAATAATAATAAATGGAAAATAATGAACTCTCACCCTATCTTTGAAAATTTTGAATATGTGATGTTAACATGGCAGTAGATGGGGCAACATCTCACTGAATTCTGCAAAGAATACCTGAACCACCTCTGTCCTCCTGCACTCTCCATGTTTGTTGATTTCCCCGCCTTCATCTATGAACTGTTGGTAGTTAATACATTTAGTTGGGCTCGGGGTTTTCACTTTTCTATAGCGGACCTATGTTTTTTCTCTGGTTATGAGAAAGTTGTTTTCTGTTGGACCCGATCCATAGGATGCACACCTATGGTTTGGGCTGGTTTCATCCTCTTGGGCCATGGGTATGCCCATGATTGTAACTATTTTATTTTCTTTTATACATTTTCTCACTTACTTACCCAAAAAATAAAAAATAAATAATAATAATAATAATCTCTAGACTACCTTAACATTTCTTCCACTTCTATTAATTACTAATTCATGGGTACTATCTCGAGGCACATTTCATGTACACAACAAATTAACAATAGGTACATCCAATGCTGTAAATAGACTTCTTCGTTTTTTTGTGTAATAATACTGACTTCACGGAATCACGAGTATCCATAATTAAAAAAAATAAAAATAAATTCGTTAATTTAGTTGGATCAAATTGATTTCAAATTTATTAACTCATTTTTCACGTGCTAAACTTGTATGGATGATCACAGCCAAACTTAGAATTTTTTTGACTAATATTGGTATGTCTCACGTTTAATCTTTTCAAAAATATTTGATTATGATTTGATTTTGATGTGTATACAATTTAAACTTTGGAAAATTTTAAATTTGGTGGTAAATTTTGATTTTTTGAAATTGTCTAACCATGATTTGATTTGCTTCCACACAACGCCACTCAATAGCTGATCAAGGACTTTATTTATATTGACACCCTGAAGTTTCAAAATCATACATCCACACCATTATGGAGAAACAATATTAACCATTTATGAGCACTTATTAATCATATTCACACTACATTGCGTAGATATGGAGATACTTGTTTCAGCTCTTATTATGAAGAGAATGTGTAGAGAAACTTTCCAAATAAGAAAGTGAGCCCTAATTTCAGAATAAGTGCAACTTTAAATTTTCAAGATCCAAACCATGGAAATGATACCACATTTTACAGACTTCTAATAACGGTTGTACACACTCACATACATAGAGAGAGAATTACAGGAACTAGTAGAAGTATGGCACATGCTGCACACTAATTCATCATAGTAACTGTCAGGATTCATAGAGAAACACAGTTTAAGCCATACTCTTTCATCACAACAATCTCCAAACTAGGAAACACACATGAAATAGAGAAGAAAATCAAAAGTTTCTGAAGAAGTCCAGAATGTGTTCGTTGATCTCATCAGGCTTCTCTTGGTTGATAAAATGGGCTGCACCTTCTATTACAACTGCTTCCTGCAACAATGGCACAACTTTCTGGAAACCACCATCATGTATGTATTCCTTGACGCCTGGGATGTGATAGGTCAAGTCCAAGTCGCCCACAATAAACTTTGCAGGAACTTTCACTTGAGCTCCCGTCCATGGTGCAGTAAGTTCCCAGTTTCTGCAATTTAGAGGAAATATTTATATGTATATGTATGTATTTATATGTATATATATGCATAATGCAAGCGCGCATAAAATTCTATGCTTAAACCATCAAATATTGAGACATTAAAATAACGCAGATGATATCAAAGAAGGCCTGCCTAGAGTTCTCTGTCCAGGACCTTGTTGCGGCAGGATAAAAGAAAAACACACAGTTTACTTAAAAGTATAAATAGAAGACAAAGAATCAAATATGAATTTGTGGAAGGCCTAGTTCAAAATCCAGGAAATTCACAGCTTTGTGGGACAGTCAACATGTAAAATCTCCATCAAATTTAATAAAATTGAGCTGAAAGGTTGGTAACTTACAGGTCGAAAGCTCGGTAATAGTTGACTCCTCCAGTGAAACCAGTCTTCTCAAACTTGGTAGCATAATAATCAACATCTTCTTCTGACAACCAAGATGGCAAGATAACTGGAGTATCAGGTGAATCCCCAAATCCTTTACCTTTAGGGAAATAAAATGGCTCCGGATTCCGAAATGTTAGGAATTTCTTTAGAACTCTTTTAGTACCAATGTCAGCAAATACACCTTCTATGTCTCCCGGTTCCTGCAACATAATTTACAAGTGTTTACAATGTTGGCCAATTTTACAAATTTTGATCCGTGTCCATTCCAAACTCAATTTCGTCTAAAATTAAACCATCCAAATGCTTCAAAATTTTAATGGTTTCTCGGTTTCAATGGCTTTCCAAACAATCCTTCTTAATTTATCAACAATCCAGGCTTCGCGACAATAATAAAGGCCAAATGTTTACTAATCCCCAAGAAGGCTAACTTTTTAATCCAAATCCAAATTTGACTCAACTCTGTTTGGGTAATTGAATCATTCATCTAGTTTCACCAATTATACTAAAGTTACAATTGGAAGTACCGAATCAGTGCATTGATTTTCGAATGGAAAGAAATTTAGTTCAAATTTGGAACTAAATTTTTACAATTTCCAAACCCCAATTTGGTACTTAGAAACATAGCTTACATATATACAGATCAAATCAACATGGGTACAAGAAAAAGTGAAATTCAAACCAAATAAAATTAGTACTATGTGCATATTAATATAATTTTGTATGTAAAACAGAGGGAGGACCTGAAATCTGCAAATGTAGTGATCATCGCCATATGCAGCACGAAAGGTCTCAACAATAGATCTCTGAGGGTTCCTAGGCAAAAACACAACACTGAGATTGACCAAAGCCTTGACTCTGTCAGGTCTAAACAGACACAAGTACCACGCAATGTATGCACCCCAGTCATGTCCTACCACAAACACCTTGTCCTCCTCGGGCGCTATGGCATCCAGGAGGGCCACCAAGTCGCCCACCAGGTGGAGGACGGTGTATTGGGTGGCGGAGGTGGGCGCTCCGGTGGTGTCGCCGTAGCCGCGGAGGTCCGGAGCGACCGCTCGGTAGCCGTGGGCCGCCATGTAGACGATTTGGTGGCGCCACGAGTACCAAAGCTCGGGGAAGCCGTGAATGAATAGGACCAATGGACCTTCACCCTTCTCTGCTATGTGCATGTTTAGGCCGTTCACCTTCACCGTTCTGTGCTCTATCCCCTCCATCTTTCTCTCTCCCAAATTTCTCTCACCACCAAATTACTCTCTCAGTGTAGATGAATAATTCCTAAATGCACTGGTGCACGGTTATTTCTTCTGTGAACATAGTAGCTAAATAATTTCAACGGATTACATAAGGTAAATATTGTATAATTATTGCTCAATCTTTCCCATCTCTACGTGTAAATAACCCAATATTGATTCACAGTCATTTTCAAGTCATAGGGAAGGACGGAGCAAGTTAAGTCTCACCCGTGCTCCAGCTGGGTCCCACAAGCTATAATTTTTTATATTTATGTAAATGTATTTGTAAAATTCACTCCTCCTAAAATTTATCTATTTATTTTTCTTTTACTCATGTCTCCTTCTTCCTCTAATTCCCTTCCAAAAATTAAAAAGTAAAAATATTATATACCTTTTCTTATTTTTCTTTTTCTTCTCTTCTTCTTCTCCTTTTACTTTTGTTATCTCTTTTTAAATTTTTTTTCCTTGCATTCTTGTATAATTTATGAGCCATAACTTTTTTCTTCTTCTCCTTCTTATTCTTTAATTTAATTTTAATATTTGTATAAAGTCTGTATTCTATATTTTTGAATTTTCCTTGCAGTAGTTCTTTTTTATTTTTATTTTTTTTGTCAAAAAGCACGTAAGTTTTGAATTCTTGATTATTACACTAATATTTTTTAATTTGATATCTTGCTGCACGACTAATTCTACTGTTATGGAGTAATTGAAAAAATAAAATTTACTTTGTTATGTTCACTCATCCCCGTTCATTGATGAAACCAAAAAAATTTATGAGAGGAGTGTTCTTTTAATTTGTGGAGGCAAATTTACATGGTGGGTTCATTTTTGTAATTTTAATGGAGTTTTTTTCATAAATTTTAAAAAATTTAAAGTAAAATGAAAAAAAAAAAAATCAATGGGGACAAATTGTAATATTAGTGGCGGCATCTTCAAAAATTTTCAAAAATTTGAAATATAAAATGCTAAAAAAATAAAATAAAATAATTCAATTAGGGCAAATTATAATTTTAGTAAAATCATCTTCATAAATTTTAAAAAATTTAAGATATAAAATAAAAATATAAAAAATCTAATGGGGGCATCCGCCCCCACTGGTCCTGGTAGTTGGTCAAAAAAAAAATGTCATTTCTTAAGAAAGAGAAGAACTAAAAGAAGGAAAGAATGAAATTCTCAGCCGGCACTACTTAAGAAAAAAAGATCATAAGAGTTAAAAGAATGGCGCCCAATTCATGGATGTAGACATTGACATGTACTTAAAATGATCAAAATGCATGCACTTTTTATTTTTATTTTTATTTTTATTTTGTTTAGATAAAAGGTACGCTTATATATAGAAACAAAGAATAAAATGTACACGAAGTGCTACACTGAGCACCAAGACAAGAGCCACACTGGGCAACAAAAACAAATACAACTGGCCATAACCTACAGGCCAACAAAGTATCTAGACATATAAACCACCACTTTGGAACTAGGCATAGAAACAACAAGGTTGAAAGTCAAAACTTGCAGCCGCACAAAGAAATCAGCACCAGCAACAACCACTAGGAGTGTCCACTAGTGATAGAACTTCAACAATCACGAAGAGTGTCCACCATAATTGAAACTTCAACAACCACCAAGTACCAGATACTAGGAGATCAACCATGAGTGTCCACCAGTGATAGTACTTCCTTTGTAGTAGAGGTTTTGCAGCTCATTGTGAGACACTACTCGACTGAGGTCTGAGCTATGTCTCAAAGTGACAGAAGCAAGTCTCGCTCGCACACATGATTTAATCTGTGAAATTATAGTCTGTGGAGAACAAGATTTATTCCTGAAGGCCCTGGAATTCCTCTCCATCCAAAGGAAGTAACCCGCAGCAGAGAGAAGAAGCTTGTGAACAAGAAAGTTCTTTGATAACCACTGAGTAGAGCACCAAGCAATCAGGTCAGTCCATGATTGAGGCTAGAATGTAAATCTTGCAACTTCTTGGATAAACCTCCAAATGTGAGAACTGTAAGTACAGCTGAAGAAAAGATGGTCTAAGGACTCATAATCTGAATTACACAGGAAACAAGCATTAGTGTAGTGCTTGTTCAACATAGGTTTAGAGTCTAAAGTGTAACACCTGTTCCTAACTGCTAACCAAGTAATGATACCATGTTTGGGGATATGATGTTTGAACCAGAGAAGGTGGTGCCAAAGGAAGATTATTGAAGGGGGAGTGAAGTAATTCATGGTATGTGCTAGGGAGAATTTGAGTGTAGGACTTGGTAACTATTCAACTGTATCATGTGAATTAGCGGGTGGGGAAATGTTGTTCAGTTGGGAACTGAATTGTCTGTGGAATAATCATCTGAAAGTTGAAAATTAGACTATCAACTAAGACATAAGTGTCCAGATGAAGAATTTTCCCTTTAGTGAGCTCAAGTTGAGTGACAATTGGACCATTTGGAAGCCAAAAATCCAATCACATCATTGCATCTGTACCAGCTCCCACCGTATATCTCATTGTATCTGAAAGTTGAAAATGCATGCACTTCATACCATGAAAAAACCACCTTTGCACAATTTCTTACCTACCCTAACATGCTTATTGCATCCACCATGTAAAGATACCACGTGTGTTAATCTAATCGTTTTCTACTTAAATGAATTCTTCATAAATTTTACGATGGGTAGTGTTGTATACTCATTTATTTATATTCCATTCTCGTGAGTTTGCAATGCTTTTGTTGTAGTTGAATTCAAGGTTATTAAAATCGAGATTTTACGTATTTGGGCTCGGTAAAATTGGAATCGTAGAATCGGATAATGAATCGTAAGATTCTATCAAATTGTGAAAAAAAATAATTGAAACTAACTTGTTAAACAATAAGATCTGTAAAATATAACAAAAATAAGGTCAAACCACACAAAAATATATATCCGTGAGAAACGAACCCAAAACAAAAGTAACCAGCCCAAAAATAAAGGCCAAAAAAGTTAAGAATTTAATTTTTTAGGTGTTATCCTACCTCATCCATGATTTGATGGAATGACAAAAATTTAAGAATTTAGTTGAAGTGATATTTTTTCTTTATTCACATAGTAAAAAGTTAGGAATTTAATTTTTTTAATAGCGCAATAGTCCAAACATGTGAATTGAATTTGTTACTCATCTGTCAAATAAATAAACCAAAAAGACGACAATCAGAAAATGACTTATTGGTGTTTTTTGGCTTCAAAATCATTTAAACTAATCAATACTTTTACAACAATATAAAATATTTCACCAAAATTATAAAAAGGAGGGCTGTCTGTGGATCCGATCTGCTCTGAGCCTTTGCCGCCGCCTCTGAAATTTTGCTATTGCTGGGGCTTTCTTTGTAGTTTGTAACTTTGTATACAATACTAAGTCTATACTTTTATATTTTATAGAATAAATATTTAACTTTATATACTATACTTGGGTTAGGCCTATAAATATTTAAAAAGACACTTTGTTTTAAGTAGCCCAGAAGAAACCAACTCAAAACGAAAGGACCTAGCCTAAAAATAAAGGCCCAAATAATCAATTTTGTAGAATCGGTAGAATCGTACAATTCTACACCGATTCTACGATTCTACCAAATGAACGATTTTGTTAAGATTTGAATCGATTTTGAATTTTGAATTGTAGAATCGTGCGATTCTAAGACTCAAAATTGGGATTTTGATAACCATGGTCGAATCACTTTATCTATCCATCCGGAACTCGGACTCCAACAGTTAGATAATAAGGGGTCTCAACGAAAATTTAGTGTAACACCGGATCAAAGATTGTGTTTAACTTTGATATCAACAATAACAGTTCAGTTCGTTGCCCTCTGATTCAAAAACTCAAGTTATTGGATACCAATGCATACTAACCCTTTTATACCCTTCACTTCCTATTTGGACCGATATGAAATGAGCTCCTCTAACAATAGTTAACATTGCACAGAAGTCCGTAGAAAATTAATTCAACATTTCTTGTGATTTTTACTCTGCAATATGCACAGGATAAAATTTTCCTCTTATTGGATATCATCATATCACATGATAGGTGACATGTTATACTCAATTAAATTAAATGAGTTATGCTAATGAGACAATTTGATTCCATAGTAACAAAATCTCTCTGTAGAATACACTACACATTCCTTAAATGGTATATATATTTTTTTTTTCTTTTTTAAAGAAGAAATCAAGGTTCGAGCCCCCATAATTTATAAAATGTATGTGTGAATACTGATCTGACCAAAAAAACAAATAGACTACCTTGACATTTTTTGAACCAAAAAAACAAAAAAAAAAAAAAAAAGACTACCTTAACATTTTTTCCCTTCTATTGAGTACTACTAATTCATGGGATGATATATATATTAATGGGATGCTATATTGGGGCACATTTCATGTACAACAAACTAACAATCGGTACGTCCAATGTTGCATAGAGTTTTTTTTTTAGTTTAAAGCGTCATAATGTCGACATCACAAGTGTCCATATATAATTAAAAAAAAAACAAAGTAAAACAACAAATTGTTTACTTTGTTTAAAGGTGGATCAAATTGATTTCAAATCTAATAACTCATTTTCACGTGTTACAATTATGTTGATAATCTCTTGGAAAAGTTTTACAAATCAAACTCTGTGCATTCCCATGGCACCCAAGACTACGACTGCTCCGTCTTGCACAAGTTATCTTATTTGCACCATAATTTAACAGACAACTCGAGGGTTGATGATGCATGTTACCTGGTCTAAATTATTGTACGTCTTCTGGTTTGTCTCTATTAAAGAAAGCACCACAACGATGCCTTGCTTTTTTTACTGAGCTGACACCAAATTTCACCGAAAGCTGAGCTTCAATTTCATAATATGTGCAACTCTAGTCTAGTTGGTAGAGCACTCATCTACTGTCTATGTTCAAGTCTCCCTCCCCTAGGTAGAGCACTCATCTACTGTCTATGTTCAAGTCTCCCTCCCCTAATTTGTCAAATATATATATATATATATATATATATATATATATATTTCTAAATTTTGATATATTTGCAATTAAATTAGATTTTTCTTAGGGGTTATAGCATCTACTTGTAACTCATCAAAAAAATTAAAAAGAGATTCCAACGGCAACAGAGGGTTCAAGCTAGAAAACACAGATTCCAATTACAGAATTTTTTATTACGTCCGTGCACACATATAGAGATGGAGAGAATTACATGAACCAGTAGAGGAATGTCACATGCTGCGCGCACACTAATTTATTGCAGCAACTGTCAGGATTCATAGAGGAACACAGTTTAATTGAGCCACACAAATAATGCATCACAACAATCTCCAAGCTGGGAAACACACATGAAATAGAGAAGAAAATCAGAAGTTGATGATGAAGTCAAAAATGTGTTTGTTGATCTCATCTGGCTTCTCTTGGTTGATAAAGTGGGCAGCACCTTCTATTACAACTGCTTCCTGCAACAATGGCACATCTTTCTTGAACCCGCCATCTCGTATGTATTCCTTGACGCCTGGCATGTGATAGGTCAAGTCTAAGTCCCCCACAATAAACTTTGCAGGTACTTTCACTTGAGCTCCAGTCCAGGCTGCACTAAGTTCCCAGCTTCTGCAATTTACAGGATATATATATATATATAATGAGCCCCAACATAAATTTTATGCTTAAATTTTGAAGGAATTAAAAATCTTTAAATAAACACATATGATAGAATAGGGCTAGGGGGGGTCTCCATTAGTTAGACAAGTGATATTAAAGAAGCTAAACTGGATAGATATAGATTAATTGTCACCTAGCAAAAGCTAGAAGCTTTCTATCATTCTGTGTGTAGATACAGAAATTTTTTTACCATGATGCTTGAAATTTATTCCCTCTCTATTTAAATGATCAAAAAATATGCAGACATCTCTAGATTTCATATTTGATAAAAGCTGAAAGGTAACTTACAGGTGGAGAGCTCGGTAATAGTTGAGACCTCCGGTGAAACCAGTCTTCTCAAACTTGGTAGCATAATAATCAACATCTTCTTCTGACAACCAAGATGGCAAGATAACTGGAGTATCAGCTGGTGAATTTGCAAACCCTTTACCTTTAGGGAAATAAAATGGCTCCGGATTGCGAAATGTTAGGAACTTCTTTAGAAATGTTTTGGTACCAATGTCAGCAAATTCGCCTTCTATATCTCCCGGTTCCTACATCATCAACCAATTTTCCAGTCAAGGCCAGGCTGGTGTCACAGAAATATATGATTCGATATTCTTAACGAAACATAGTTGAGGAAGTGGAATTCAAATCAATGAAAACAAGTAGTGCTCGTGTATATGTATATACTCCGCACTACGTAATTTTGAAAACAGAGGACCTGAAATCTGGACATGTAGTGTTCATCGCCATAGGCAGCATGAAGGAGCTCAACGAGCGTTCCCTGAGGGTTCCTCGGCGTAAACGCAACACTGAGGTTAACCAAAGCCTTGATTCTTTCAGGTCTAAACAAACACAAGTGCCACGCAATGTATGCACCCCAGTCATGTCCCACCACAAACACCTTATCCTGCTCTGGCGCTATGGCATCCAGGAGTGCCACCAAGTCGCCCACCAGGTGGAGGACGGTGTATTGGCTGGCGGAGGTGGGCGCTCCGGTGGTGTCGCCGTACCCACGGAGGTCCGGAGCCACCGCTCGGTACCCGTGGGCCGCCATGTAGACGATTTGGTGTCGCCACGAGTACCAAAGCTCCGGGAAGCCGTGGAGGAATAGGACCAATGGACCTTCACCCTTCTCTGCTATGTGCATGTTTAGGCCGTTCACCTTCACCATTCTGTGCTCTATCCCCTCCATCTTTCTCTCTCTCAAATTTCTCTCACTAGCAAATTACTACCATATCATTTTCTTCAGTTTTTTCCGTTGTGGAGTCGAATCACTTTCCCTATCCATATGGGGGACCTCTGAGACGAAGACTTGGCGTAATTTATTGAAAGTCTTCTGGTTTGTCTCTATTAAAGAAAGCACCACAACGATGCCTATGTCCTTGATTTTTTACTTTAACCTATTTACTGAGCCGACACCAAATTGCACCAAAAACTGAACGTCAATTTCAGAGTAAGTGCAACTCTTGTTTAAGTTGGTATAGCACTCATATATATATATATATATATATATATATATATAATTCGCCCGAACATAAATTTTGAAGAAATTAAAAATCTTTAAATAATAATACATATGATAGAATAGGGTTAGGGGAGTCTCCATTAGTTAAACACGTGCTATTAAAGACGTTTAATTCAAAAAATTTACAATATTTCTCTTAATTCTTTTTTTTTAATATATTTGAGTAAATTTTCTTTTAGATTACAGGTTCTACGGAATGTAACCGTTTGTTTTTTTTACTTGTGTTGGACCATGTCTTCTACCTTTTTTCTTATTTATTGATTGCTGCACAATTCCATGTAAACACCATGTTGAACTATTCATTACCACACATTTACTTGCACGTGACACATATATAAATAGTTACTTTTTCTTTCACATTACAGTGTAGATCCCACATGTCTCATTCTCACTTTTCTGTCTCTCATATTTATGGTCTAGATCCCACACGTTTCACGCTCACATTAAATTATTCTATTATTATTATTTTTTTAAATCATGCTATATAAGTTTGTGCCTACTCACATAATTTTGTAAGTTGGTCATTGCCCATATCAATTTTTTTTTCTTCTTTTTTTCTTTTTTTTTTTCCTCTTCCAGTTCAAAACAACATATATATCGATCGAGTTGGACTTGAAAGTAAAAATAGAGGGGAAAGAATCAAATTTGTACAGCCTTATGGCATAGTAAATATGTAAAATCTCCATCAGAAGAAGCTTCTATCATTTTATGTGTCTACTAGATACAGAAATTTTTTTAACATGATGGTTGAAATTTATCGCCTCACAAGTTAACTTATGCAGACATCTCAAGATTTCATATTTGATAAAAGCCGAAAGGTAACTTACAGGTGCAGAGCTCAGTAATAGTCGAGTCCTCCAGTGAAACCAGTGTACGGTCTGTTTGTTTATTGGGAAATAACATTTCATATTACACAAAAATAACTTTTTATTTTGTCTGTTTCTTTCTTAAGGAAAGAGGACAAAGAAAATTAGAAAAGTTAACTTGTCATTTTTAAGGAAAGAAGACAAAGAGCATTAACATAAATACGGCTGTAAGAAGGGGCATTTTCCCACACTATCACTTTCTCGCAGTAATTTTATCATTGACCGAAGTGAGAAGTAAAAATATTCTGCTAAAGACGTTCTCCTTTCCTTCTTTTCGAAAGAAAAGGAGGAATCAGACAAAATCGATAAAATGAAAGAGATTCGAGTGAACGGAAAGGAAAAAACAACGGACGAATTCCATTTTCACATTAAAGAGACATGTTATTAAAATAGTCTCCATCCCATATTAGTAGTTCATTATTCTCTTTTTATATGTCTCAAATTAATTGTCCCCTTTGAAAAATTAAAGTAAATAAATTTTATATTTTCATCATTATCCTTTATCTTTTAAAAAAATTTTAAACTTTATAACTATATATATTTAAATTAGAAGGGACAAGTTGGTAATTTTAAAAAGGGACAATGCATTAAATACATGTCCCCTAATAATATCATTATTATCACTTTCTTCACTCTAAAAAAAAAAATACACACACACACAACTTACCGGCAGTAGATGTGTAAGAAAATCGGCTTAATGACAAGTAGGTGTGTAAAAAATAGCTAACCCCAAAAATGAAACTGATGGATTTGGTTTTGTTGTCACGTGATTAATACATATATAGTAGGGGTGGTAAATGGACGGGTTGGGCCGAGTTTGGGTCAGGTTAAAAATAGACGGGTCCAACTCGTTCTGAGCAGGTTGAAAATAGACTGGTCAAAACCGGGTCAACCCGTTCGGACCCGTGAACCCATAAATTTTTATTTTTTTATTTTTAACTAATTTCCATTAGCCATTCACAATAGGAGCAAGCTTACAATAGATTTAGTGCCAAAAATATTACTCCAGTCAACAAATGCCACAAGATTAAACACTTGACAAGGGCATAGAACAGCTACAGATAAGAATAACACAACTCAAATACAAATAGCATACAACATTCCCAGTTTACAATCATAATTAATCAGACAAACCAAAGAGTGTATCAAATAATGGGAAGAGAGTAGTAAAAAAAAATACTGATACTAGCAAAGTTATTGCAAAATAGAATAAATGGAAATATACCCTCAAACCTGGATCAGAGGCACCACCCAATAACCTCTATTGCAATATAAAATCTGTAAGTTTTCATGTTATTACAGTTTATAGGTGCATCTCAAACTTGTCACATCTAAGAGACTAAGACCAATTGCCTATGACTTTAAAACGAAATTCATAATCTTTCAAAATTTTAAAACTCTATACAAACTTTTCAATGTTAAGAGTTCACCAATCAATCTGGAGAAAATCAGTATAAACCCCCCATCCCACCCCCCAACACACACACACACACAAACACTGACGCACACACAATTAGAAGTTAGAACCAGAAAAGAGTGCAAGTGTAATTAGATTATATTGGAATCTTCAAGTATAGGCATAAATCATCATCCTAGTGCATCCTATATATACACGCATACAAGTAAATAAGAACACATTAATCTAAAGGTTATTTTAAAAAATATTTGCCATTTTAATGAGACAACACTGCAAAATAACCTGTTTAAATAATAAAGCTGAGAGCATAATCACAAAATCATAAATCATTCAAAAACATGACTCAACAAATATTTTTGCGTCAACTACTCTAGGTAATACAGTAGCATCCCGAACACATAGTGCAATTCTTAACTGTGGAAGACTTCATTATAATACAAAATAAGACTTTGCGTAGAAGCCGCTTTTAATGATGCAATCCATGAGACAAATTTGCCAATATTTGTAAAAGGAAACACAACTTTAGGCTAATGTACAGACAAAAATCTTGCATTTCCTTTTTAGTATTAGAAAAAAGAACTAAAACTTTAAATTAGCAAGTAAACTGAGAAGGTTTTAAAGTTAAATCAATAACAAGTCACTGAACAAAAATAATCAACCTCTTCATTATTTCACTGAACTCATTGTTGGGATTTATATGCTATGGAATAGCGAATTCTTAATTGGATTAAAGTGACATATGTTCCTAAGATATCTGAAATATTTATGCTTTACACAATTGGTGAATTCAATGTATTATGTTTTGATTCATTATGAAATTGATAATGTCCACTTGATTACAAGAGATATTTATATATGTATGTGATGGCGGTCAATACATGAATATAAATAGTAATCATAAATAGTTCATAGTTGGTAATTATGGATGTACTCATTATTAACTAAGACTTGAACTGGATCCGCGTTAGGTTGAGATATATTGCGAGAGCCGTCATATGCAATTGTTCCCTATCACCGTCATGACATTTGACTATTAAGAATGAGAGAAGTAGAGACTCTTTTATTAATTATTAATTACTTTGATTTGTTTGGCGGAATCTTCGGAATCCTTAGACTAGCACTTTGGGTAATTATGTAATTAATAGATAGAGGGTTAAATTTTTAATATTTGCATCATTACTACTTGTATTTATTTTGTATTGATGATGGTTGATCACAAAGTAAATTCGAAGGCTTTCGTGTGTTTTTAGACAAAATAATTTATTATATATTTATTTATTTAAATTATTATTTTTGTCAAACAAATATTTTATTGTGATCAAGCTGGAAATAATCAAAGGTACCAAAATAAATATATTAATTAAGTAGCCGGATTAATGGCTTTATTTATCCGATAACTAATTATGTATAAAGGGGTCAAAGTGCAACATTGACTTAGAGGTTATTTATTATTTAATTTCTTTTAGTGGAGTAGAAATTAATTTATGAATTAATTGAATTGGATTGATGGTTCGGGCCAATTATTAATTCATTATAGCCAAGAAAATAATAAACTCAAAGGAGTCTCACTCATAGCCCAACTTAATATTGGAATCCTATTAGATTTGAGATATGGTAATTAGAGATTGATAAGGATTTATTGTTTTTTTTCCTTTTCTTTATGTTGCCTATATATACATGGTCCATGTATATTTTAGTTGTGACTTTTGGAAGAAAAATGAATATATTTTTCTCTCTAAAATTTTAGAGTTAGTGTTTTTATCTAATGGAGGCTCCCACAAGCCTAGTTTCCCAAGGTCATTCATGGAGGCTTATGGGTGATTCTTAAAGGCAAGACCATTACCAAGAAGATGAAGATCCAAGGAGAAGGCATCTAACAAAGGGATCTACAATAAGTGAAAACATTTACTTTAGAGGAGAGATCTAAGGTTTACTCAAACCTTGATGTAAGTATTCAATCTATTAATTGAATGATACATCATATTTTATTTTTGCATAAAACTTGCCTCTATGTGATAAATCAAGATTAATGCATGAAAATCCCTTAGAAAGTCTTTAAAACTTACACATTTCCCAACACTCATCACCAAAAATAGATAAAAGAAGACTAAACAGGATACAACTGGTTTATGGAGCTGTTATTCTACCAAGCTAAATTACGACTGCAAGAAAGCCTTTGCCAAAGAAAGGGAAGATAAGTCTAAGATTTTAGCATGCACTTTCCATTCCTTTGTTTTTGTGCCAAAGAGAGGGAAGAAAAAGTCTAGAACTTCTCAAGAGCCTCTTCAAATCACCAAAGTTGCAGAGACAAAAGTTATCCGAGTGAGACCAAATACGTAAAAGATCACTTTTCAAGCTGAGCAATGATAGGTTCAAAATCTTCAACCAGTCCCTCTTCATCAGAATCTTCTGAAAATACATCAAATGATTACAATATATATATATATATAATTAAATACAACTTTCACACATTTAAAA